CGGAGATGAGCTCCGCCCCCTAGAGTCGGGAACGACTGGCACAGATGTGCGAGGGGAATCTTTACCTTTAATATAATAAATGACAGCTTAAGGATGTATTGCCTGGAATAGGCACGCTTGGTGAACTTAAGTTACCAACCCAACTTATGCCAATTAATTGAGGGAAATAGCAAATCAGGGAGTCAGCAAAATAATTCACTGTCACATCCAATCAATAAACTTTGTAAATCAACTCATTTAATGCTCCTTTCCAAAAAAAAAATATGATCCATATAGATCAAGCGGCCAATTAAACAATTAACATGCGTTTGACTATTAATTAATTTCAGCATCAGTCAGAGAGGGAAAATTTCAACCCTGAATTGTCGCATTGAACGAGGCAGAAGGGAAAATTCCAAGTTCACCAGGAGATAAAAATTCTGGGATGTTGCAACCCAAACAACCCGGGGTGACAACGGTCGCCTCTGTATTCCCAAATCCTCAGAAGTGCAGTTTCAAAAAATAAATAAATTAAAATATCGTTATCTATTGGGTGAATGTTTACAATGACTCTCCATAATTGTACCAAACTGAACATCTGTTCTGACCGAGGTTTCCCAAGAGCATGAAGCAAACTCCTTGTCCCGACAAAAACCCCTTTTATTAATTTGCTGTGAATTCTGCCCATTCACATCCAACAAAATCTTTCAAGGGAGGATTTACGGTCACAGACCTTATCTGGCTTGGAGAGCTGCCAGGCCGATCTCTGCAGAACTTGGCAAGGAGTCTTGGAGAGTCACAAGCCAATGAAGTGAACTAATTTTCTCCTGCAAACTCCACTCCCCTTTCGCTCCTCTTTTATTCCCTCTGGGAGGGGCCGTTCATTCGTCCACCTGTGGCCTTACTTTCAAGTCGACCCCTGTTCTTTAGCTCTTTCCTTTGTCAGGCAACTCTTCGCAGGCGCACACTGGGAACAGGCTCCAGCTGTTCTTCTGCCTCACTGATGTCTGACTCCGAAGGCAACTGATAACTGGTATACGACCCTGGCCCCCTTTTTGCCTCCTACACAGAGCCCTTATCGGAGCCTTCCCCAGACTCCAGGACTGGCCCATCTTCCTCCCCAATTCTCCTTCCTGTCCGAATCTGCCACCAGCTCTGCTGGCAGGCCACAACCCACATATTTTTTCACATCTCTAGAATGTAGAACCAAACTCTATTATCCCAACTCTGTTGTTCAATCTCACTGAATCTCCAAACCAGTTTGGATTTCTGCTATGGCCTCTCCAGCCGCCGAATCAGAGGAGGTGGTGTGGGATTCGGGGTGAGCATCAGGACAACCTGAGTTCTCCGAGGGGGAAGAGGGAATGGGGCTGTGGGTCAGCCCTCCGATGGAGAGAGACAGCCCCCAGGTATGGACGTGGCTGATCAGGAAGAGGAGGAACAGCTGGGTGCAGTGCTGGACATAAGGATGCACAGACGGTAGAGGAGAGGAGAGCAGTGGAAATCTATGAGCCGGTCCACGGGACAGAAGAGCCACCCATTGCTAGCAAAGCCCCACTCTAACTCTGGGGATAAAAGGCAGGGAGATGAATAGGTGTGACATCTTCCGGACGGATGGACGTTAGCCTAGGATGAGATAATTTTTTTGCCAGTGCTGCCGGCACTCCTAATAAAAGGAATCTTTTGAGTTCATGTCAGAGGGCTTGTGGTGTTTGGGGAGCTGGATCAGAACAGGTCCATAAACATTGCATTGAATCTGTGTATTGAGTCAGGTGCATCCAAAGCGCTCTACATGGGGCTACCCTTGAAAAGCGTTCGGAGACTACAGCTAGTCCACAATGCGGCCGCGCGAGCGATATTGGGTGTACCGATACACACCCATATTACACCTGTCCTCCGCAAGCTGCACTGGCTGCCAATTGGTCTCCGGGCGCAATTCAAGGTGTTGGTCATTACCTTTAAAGCCCTACATGGCTTAGGACCAGCCTATCTGCGAGACCTCCTACTGCCACACCCCTCCCAACGGCCGATAAGATCCCACAGGGTGGGCCTCCTTCGGATACCGTCATCCGGACAGTGGCGGGTGGCGGGCCCCCGGAGGAGAGCCTTCTCTGTGGCTGCTCCGACCCTGTGGAATCAGCTACCTCCAG